GGGGGGGACGAACCCAGGAAAGGCGAACCAGGTCTTGGCCGGCGTCCGGGGACCGGCGGACCGGTGTGAGGGGAGAGCGGAGCGAGGTGTCGGCCCGACCGTCCATGAATCACCGGTACCGGAGGCCGGTGCGAGGCCCGACCCCACCCCGGGGCTCGGACGCCGCCACAGCCCAGGATGACAGCCCGAGCCCCGCCGTCCACACCCGGCTCACCCCATAAAAACCCAGCTCGCGGCCAGCGCCCTCACAGCCACCGCACCGCGGGCAGGCCGTGCGCGCCCCCCGCACGCCCGCGGCGGCCAAGGGAGGACGGAAGCGATGAATGAATGGGAGAACGGGACTCGGCGGCCCCGGTCCTGCCCGCGTCCTCCCGGGCCGCGTCCTCCCGCCCCGACAGCCGCCGGCCCCAGGTCCCCCTGCAGCGCTCCCGCGGAAAACAGACCCGGACCCCGCCGCTCACCCCGCGGCTCCCGCGGAGCAGAGGCACTGACACCACCGGGCACCATGCCGCCATGCCCGGCCGACGCGACCCGCTGCCCCAGGTCTCCGTGTGGTCGGAAAAGACGTGGAGCCCTGCGGCGAAAGCCACTGCCGCCGACGAGGTCGCCCCCTGCTGTCAGGAGGCCGCCAGTCCGTCTGGCCCCGCCCCGTCAGCACGGCCTCGCTCCGTACGACTGGCCACGCGCCGTACGACTGGCCACGCCCCATACGACTGGCCACGCCCCATACGACTGGCCACGCCCCGAGGCCTCGCCTCCCAGAACAGGCAGCACTAGCCGCTTCCAAGAAGCTAGCAACTCAGGAGGCTGAGATCTGAGGATCGGGACTCGAAGCCAGTCTGGGCAGGAAAGTCTGTAAGACTCATCTCCAATTAAATCACAGAAAAAGCCAGAAGTGCTGCTGTAGCTCGTGGTAGAGTACTAGCCTTGAGCAAAAGGAGTTCAGGGATGGTGAGTGTCCAGGTCCAGAGTTCAAGCCTCAGGACCAGGACAAAAAAAAAAAAAAAGGAATAAAAGAGGCTGATTATAGAGGACTGAAATGGCAGAGAAGACAGATCTTAGGCTATATAGCAATGTCAAATGATGCAGAACAGATGGGTGGAGCGGGCTGTGATGATTGATGACCAGTGCAGAATAGTGACTGTATATGAAAACAAGAAAGAAATGAAATGACTCTCAACTTGTAGTGTTGAACAATGAAAACAGATGGAGGACCCAACAAATTCAGCCTGGGATTTGCCAGAATTTGAGGAGCCACAGATATAGGAGTCCTGAGAATGTAGGGAGGCTGATCTCAGCAAACACATCTTCCTCTGGAGTAAACAGACTAGTCAAGGACAAAATTTGACCAGGCCTTTTCTCTCTAGCTGGATTGATTTGCAGTGTGTAGTCTGGATTAATCTGTGGAACTTATCAGCTTTCTGTCACGTTCAATGAATATCTTCAAAATTCCACCTGGATAGATCAAATCCACATGTTTTTTAAAGTGACTAAAAGTATGTTCATTCATTCTAGTATTGATTTCAACCTTCATCATTTTTCCTTTTGATTACTTTTGTTTGATTCCTTAAGAGTTACAGGTTAGTGTGACTAGAAACAATGCATAAGGCTTCTTCATTGCTATCAATGATACAATTAAAGCTATAGGAAATTTTCCTAGCAGTGTAATTATGAACCACCCTTTGGTATTCAAACCACATGTTGAGACAGACCTGTCCCCAGTTCTAAAAGTGGAAATATCCAGCTGTTAGTTAACTAACAGCTGAGCAGTAGAAAGTCTGAAACTTGGGCTAGGAAGGTAGCTCAGTGGTAGAGTGCTTGCCTTGCATGCATGAGGTCCTGGGTTCAATTCCTCAGCACCACATAAGCAAAAAGAAAAAAGCCGGAAGTGGCGCTGTGTCTCAAGTGGTAGAGTGCTAGCCTTGAGCTGAAGAGCTGAGGGACAGCGCCCAGGCCCAGAGTTCAGCCCCCACGACCGCCCCCCCCCAAAAAAAAGAAAGTCTGAAACTGCTGGCAACCATATGAGTAGAGCTCTTTGGAAATGAAACAGACACAAAAGAAAGCAAAGCTACAAGGAGACAGATGTTTGACATTACTTATGCAAGGAAGCCAGCCCCACTGGAATGAACACTAAATCCAATTCAGGTGAGTCTGTAACTTCTTAACTAACCCAGGTTAAGCTCATACATTTGTATTTGCAGAACTACTTGTTTGCTTTATCAGAAGTGATACTTGTTTTTTGGTGGTTTGGGTTTTTTTTTTGTTTTTATACCAACCTTCTTTCCCCCATTATTTAACACCTATCCACATAATTCTGTGATGCTGAACTATTTGGGTCTTTGCCCCATACTATTTCCTTACTGTTTCCACAAGGCTGTCTTCATGTAAAATGAAAACATTTACTACCTAAAATCCTTCAGACTCCCTATTACTAAATCCCTAGGCAATATATTACCCAACTTCTTCCACATGATTCAATCCTTACCTACCTGCTCAGCTGAAATCTATTGTTCAGAAATACTGAAGTACTGGAATCTTCCTGCACAAAGTGTGCCATGTGTGTTTAGTTATGTGATTACCCAGCATTTTAGCCAGCATAGCCTCATCTCTTCTGGGGTCCACCACTAACCACCCCACAAGAAAAACAGGGTCTAAAAATTGTACACAACTTTTATTGCGCCTGCAGCCCTTTAGAATATTCTAGTGTTTTTCCACAGTTCTCTAAGCTTCATCTATTATCAACAGCCAAGCCTGGCATAGGCTCTGTGATTATGGCTTACCAATTTGAGCCTCATGAGTTTGAATCTGATCCTTTTTTTTTTTTTTTTTGGGTCCGGTTGTGGGGCCTGAACTCTGGGCCTGGGCGCTGTCCCTCAGCTCTTCAGCTCAAGGCTAGCACTCTAC